ACATCGACTGCGGCGTCAGGACAGCTGGGCCTTCTTGAATCCTGTCAAAAGTAGGATCCCGTCCTTCCAAGCAGAGGTGATCTCATTATCGCTAAATATCGGTTCAACCGCAAGTTTAATATGGAGTATCCAACGAGGGAGGAGTGGGACGCCGATGGCCAGAGGCTCTCCACAGTGGGTGGGCAGGACTGCTACACAGACGGCTCGGTCACGGAAAAGGGATCTGGCGCCGTAGTCTTTGGCATAGAACTAGGCTATCTATGCCTCTTGGTGGATACACCTCTATTTTCCAGGCAAAAGTCTTTGCGATTCTGGCTTGTATGTCCAGCACTTTTAAGGGAGGAGGGCCTAGGAGAATAATAACAACCTTCTTAGACAGCCAGGCTGCAGTTCCTGTAAGATCTTTTAGAGCCTTGTATTGCAGGAAGGCTCTGGATTGTCTCGCAGCAAGACATCCGGTATCATTGACCTGGGTACCCCCGCACTCTGGCATAAAAGGCAATGAGACAGCGGATGCTCTGGCGAAAACAGGATCAGGTAACAAGCTCTTTGCTCCTGAGCCAGCTCTAGGAGTGTCCGCGCAAAGGGTTAGGAGGATAATGGAGAAGTGGATTGCAAGACAACACTCTCAGAAATGGGTAAGTATCTCCAGACATCTCCGCCCGGCACGGGAACTCATTGTAGGGCGAGAGCCAATCTAAGGTTGCTGGTGGGAGTGTTGTCTGGCCATAACACGTTAAGGCTCAACTTGCACGTGATGGGGGTGGCTGATAATTTTATGTGTGAAAGCTGCGGTGTAGAGGAAGAGACGTCGGCGCACGGTCTGTGTCGCTGTGAAGCTATGTAGTAACAGGCCAGGTCCATTAGTTTGGACACCCAGGACGTCAAGGAGCTTGGACTCAAGGCCATACTCAACCTCGCTAGAAAAGCGAAGCTTGTGGTCTAAGGAATGTAGTTGTGCGTAAGGGCCTGTTTAAGTGCCTATGCGCTGGCTCCTTGTGGTGGCCGGAATGCCTCTAATTTCACGATTCATTTATCTCCATGGGTGCACTTTCAAGTCTAAAAATGGATCAATTCAGCAAGACCATGGATAGTGTTTACTATTTAATTTCTAGAAGTAATTTTGTAATAAACCATGAAATGCATAGTGCTCAATACAAAGCTACTTGTATTTTTAATTGTACCTAACTAGATTATCAAACTCCTAACGCATTTAGATTCGACATTGCGACTAAAAGAATAAAAGTGGCTATATCTGTTTAGGTTGCAACATTGATTAACGTATTCCACCTGTTCGCAGACATTAGCAATAGGTGCAGACGTCCAAGGCAAATATCTGGATTCTGAGCTATGGACATAGTGAGGACAGTGGGCTTGTATTCATTAGCATCAGTGCTTATCCTGTGTCTTTGTTCCGATTTTGTTGTGTTACAATATATGGTTATATTTCTAACATCGGCGTGTTAATCACCTCAGGCTGCAAAATTACGTATATACACTTTTTGTTTAATCTTAGATTAGAAACTCAATTTTAATAATCATTTCCTCCTCAGTAAATTTCATAGATGTCAGTAAAATGCCAATGCGCGTGGTGGCACAACACAAGAAGCTTTATGGCTTGAAAGCCCTTTTAAGTCTGTGTTCAATAAAGATTTTCAAGGAAATGGAGTCAAATACTAATATTAAAACTTTATACGGTATTTTTGTCAGAATTTGATGTATGGACATTTTCTTCTTCTTCTTCTTCCTACTTTACTAATAGGCTCATGCCTGTCTAACTTCGATTTTTAGCCAATTGATGTTGTCTGACCATCTGTTCCTCGGTCGTCCCATTGATCTTCTCCCATTTAGCGATTTTTCTGTTGCTATTCGTACTATTCTATTTTCTGTCATTCTTTCTAAGTGTTGATTCCATTCTATTTTTCTTATTTTGGTCCACAGGTTCATTTCCTCTATACCACATCTCGCTCGTATTTCCTCACTTCTTACTCTGTCCCTTAGAGTTTGGTTTGTTATTTTTCGTAAGACTTTCATTTCTGCTGTTTCCAATAATCTTTGTGTTTTCGCCATATCTGCTATTATTTCCGCTGTGTACGTCATTATCGGTCTTATTGTTGATTTATATATCCCAGTTTTCGTTTCCGTTGTGAGGTATTTGTTTATCCAGATTGTATTGTTGAGACATCCTGCTGCTCTTTTCGCAATGTTCACTTGTTTGTGTATATATTTGGACATTTTGTCCTAATAAAAGTTTCTCAAATGACGATATATCTACTGCCTGTGCTCCACTCCAGCAAGGTACGGTTAGTAATGCAGCTTAACTCCTTAAGCCGCCTCTGGCTCATTATCAGACCCAATACAATCCTATCCAAAGTAGTTGTCCAGAGTCCCTACCTCCACAATTTATACTGAAATACCGGATAGGGTCCAGCCGAAGACCCGGATATTCCCGAACCTCCGACCGCATCCCGCTACCAGTGAAGCCACGGAATTCGAGACCTCTCTTCTAATATTAGTTGAACCCTCTTTGGATCAGGGATTGCTGCGTCTTATTTAAATAACACTCCGAGAAGCTACGAACTTTGCATGTTACCCTTCTCTGATTAAACCTTGGGATACAGTACATACATTCAGGAATGTTGTAGATCAACGTTGCAAGATGGACTCACCGCACCTGTTTGATTGTAGTGATACGTTTAATTTTTTTGTTATACGTGTTCGTAACTAACTTTTGTCTCAGACGATCTAATCTATATATATATACGAGCAGTAGTCATTGCCACTGCCAACGGCAGTTGAGCAAGAAATACAATTAATTGTTAATTGGGAATTGGCAAACTTTAAGCTTAGTATAATGTATATCTACTCGTGTTTGTACATATATTGACTATAAAAATAAATATATTCTTCACTTACTCAAATACGGTTTAACAGCTCAGCAACAGAGTGGTTTTTTGTTTATTTCTGTTACCATCAGATTTACGAAACATCACAACCTAACACTGAACAATGTTGATAAAAGGAAGTTAGATAAAAAAGGCAGACTATAATCTCCAGTTTTTCTTTTTTGCATTTAGAGTGGCTTTGACACACTAGAGGCAATCCATTGATGTACTTTAGATAATATATTTAATATTAATGTTTCAATGTTTGGTTTATATTTGATACTGCCACTAAGAACATGAGACACAAAGTCCTACACCACTTCGTACTCTCTCTTCAGTCGTCGGACTGCGTTGTTCAGCAGCTGCATTGAAGTGACTGTGCAGCCCGTTTGGTACCAGGCTAGTACTTTCTTCTATCCCGTCGATAATCAGTAGGGTATACAATTTGGGGTGAATATCGCTATAAACTGATTATGCTCCCCAAATTATTTTGAGGTTTTTGAATGATTTTGGTGTTCGAGTTCATGGAACAGCCCCATAGTTGACAACCACGGAACCACACAGGTCTTAAGTTCTGATTTTAGACCATGGTTTTGTCATTCAGCGATAGCTTTGAAGAGCTCCTCCCTAGTTATTAGGAATCAGTGCTTGACTTGATTTTCAAACTGCTTGACTTGATTTGACATGGAGTTAAATCTTGCTTAAGTCAGGCATTAGATATCAGCAATCTGATAATAAGGCAAGTAGTTTTTACGTCTGACTGTCAGGTGTCAGAAAATCCAGGAAGGCTTGATATAGCTTGATAATTTTTGTATTATAAATACGAATAGACTATAAACGTACAGCGGGGAGACTATTTGTTACAAATAAAATAAAAAAATTGAGCAAAATAGATGGTTCATCGTATAGCAACAGAACGATAAAGCTGAAGCAGAAAAAACTTTTCTCCGCCTTCTGATTCAACAAACTACAACATTTTAAACTATCTTTCCATTTACCAACCACGAGTTAAAACACATGATGATTCTAACGGATTAGTAATGGTGATAAAACTGAAAATAATGGAAATGACAACTGACCGGATCTGGAACCACACTCCTATAACATAATAATGAAGACTTTGGTGCAAAAAGGTGTTAACTGAGTTTTTTTGTTTTTTGAGATTTTTAGTGCAAAAAGGTGTTAAAAGCGTGCTTTTTGTGGTAGTTCATCTATCTGGCCATAGATGTCTCTCAGTTCTTGGATACAGAGATTCATAAAAGTGTTAACTATATCAAAAGCTTCAATCTGTAAACTTAAAAAGGTGTTAACTTTTGTGTTATAGGTAAATTCCAATTTGTTGTCGTTTGAACACGTTTCGTGAGAGGTTTGGTTTTTCTATTTCCTGCAATCCAGACTCAGCCAAACAAGGAAGCTCCTGGACATGATGTGCTGCAGCTAGGCATAACAGAAATGGTACCAAATAATGAAAGTTCACTTGATGATGAGAATAAACAAAAAAAGTCCAGAAAACGAAAATCTCTTCCAAAAACATGGAATTGTTATGAAAATAAAGAGAACAAAAATAAAGGAAAGGCATATAAAACTTATAAAGGTATTGATATTCAGGCAAAAAATCCTTGTATTGGAAAACGATTATGTAAAGAAAAATGTCGTTTAAAGTGTGACAGCAGGTTTTCAAACGAAGAAAAGGTGCGTCTATTTGAAGAGTATTATTCATTAGATAAAAATGCAAAAAATGCTTATCTGTTTGGAATAATGAAAGCATACAATGTTAAGCAGCCCTCTGGACTTCATAGGCATCTCCAGAAGTCATTCAGATATTCTTTCAAAGTAGGAGGAGATAGTCATCGTGTGTGTAAGGAAGCAGTTATGTCTATATTAGATGTTGGAACTAAAAAGCTAGATTTAATTAGCGATCAAGTATCTAGTGGTAGATCTGCCCCTAAGCGAGATGGAAGAGGCCACCATAAAAGCAGACCCTTAAAAACTTCCTAGGAAAAGCGCAATTTCGTTCATAGGCACATCTGATCATTTCCTTCTGAAGTATCTCATTATTTTCGAAACAAAAGTCCAAACCGACTCTACCTTTCTCCATGGCTATCCATCAACAAAATGTATGCTTCGAATGTAGAAGAGTGTGCAAACGAAAATATCGTCCCAGTATCTACCTTTACATATAGACAAATGTTTGTCAATGATTTTAATTTTGGATTTGGTCCTCCAAAGACTGATACATGTGCAGTTTGCGATGTAGGATCAAATGAGGAACATGTTGCAAAGTATAAAAAAGCCTTTGACGTACAAAAATCTAATCGAGAAAATGCAAAAGCAAACGAAAAAATCATATACCTCACATTTGATTTACAAAAAACGCTTCCCCTGCCAAAAATTTCTACAAGCAAAGCCTTCTATGTACGACAAGTATGGCTCTACAATCTAGGAATATATTTAATATCAACACAACAAAATGGTAAAGGTTTTTTCCACGTTTGGACCGAAGACCAAGGGAGTTGCGGTCCTGAAGAGATTGGCAGCTCACTTATGGCCTTTTTGGAGAATACCAAGGACCAAGCCATCGCTCCCGATCATCTAATTGCATGGAGTGATTCGGCAGGTGGCCAAAATAAAAAAAATTATATTGTCTGTCTATGGCACTATCTAATAAATTCAGGAGTGTTCAGAAAAATTGACCATACGTTTCCTGAAGTGGGACATACTTTCATGGACTCTGATAGAGACTTTGCAGCTGTTGAAAAGTCTATCAGAAAGCACCAATCAATTTATACAATAGACTAATATATTTCTATCATGGCAGAAGCCAGGAAAAAACACCTTTCAATATTACAAGAATGGCGGACAAATTTGTTGATATAAAAGAGCTTCCAAGAAAACTTGGACTCGTCGATAGAAAAAAAACTACAGCTAACGAGAAATTTTCATTCAGAGATGTGAGATGGATCCAGATTGAGGAATTTGGTATAACCAAGTACAGATACTCTTTTGATGAAACAGAAAATTGGACTATTGTTGATATAAGAAAACAGCGGGATAGGAGAGGACAAAATGAACCTTTATTAGTGAACGACGATAGAAGCCGACCTATTGGGGCCAACAAGTTTGACAGTATTCAGGAACAGATTCCTTTCATACCAGAAAATTTTAGAGGATTTTATGAAAACTTAAGAAGAGGAGACGATTAGTTAGTCTGTGGATCATTTGTTATTACCTTTATGAGTTCATAATAATAAAAAAAGACTAAGTTTACTTTTTATAAATAACATCATTGAATTGACACATTTTTACTGTTTTCATTGTCCTGTCCAAGCAAATAACCGTTCTTTAAAAAAGTGTCAAGTCAGATTTTCACCAATCTTTTTAACATTTCTGATGATAAAAACATATTTTTTAACAAAACTGCCTATTCAAGATACTTTTATATCTGTCTTAAATAACCTTGAATAATAAAAGTAACCATAGCACCCACATATAAAAAATGTCAGGGTTTAAACTTTGAGGCCAATTATATCCGAACTATAAAATCTGAGTTAACACCTTTTTGCACCAAAGGCTTCAATTGTTTTTAAGGAATGCACAAAACATTATCGGTGAGTCACAGGAATATACAACTCCGAATGTAAAATATATTGCTTTTTACATATATAGGGTGTTTCTTAATTATATGCGAATATTTACGTGTGGGAATCTACATGCAAAATTAGTATTAGTTTGCCTTATAAACTATGGTCCAAAACTGTTTCCTTACAAAAAATCGGGGTGTTCAAGATTTAGGAAAAAATGGAAATTAATTAATATTTTCAGAACCGCTTCAGATATTTCACTGATATTTAGTACGTAGTGAAAATTAATAAAGTTGCATATTTTTTTAATGCAAAATAATTTTTAGCTTAAACAGTCGCATGCGTACGGGTATTGACTTCGATATTTCTTTTTAGAAAAAAAAATGGTACGCCAATAGTTTTTTGCCAAATAAAAATTATTTTTAAATTCCCCGTTCAATTTAAAACAAATGATCTGTCTTGAGTTGATTTTTGAATAAAAAAATAAAAACTGTTCTATTGTGCGAGAAAATTAATGTAATAATTGAAGATAAAATTTAGCAATAATTATCTAGTTGCTCTGGAATATGTCACTGGCTTTTGACATCTGACAAGTCTCTGTTATTCAAATCTGTTCGTTGAGACATCTTTCTCATTATTTAATTTTTACAATCTTGTTAATAATGGTGAATTATTCAAATGCAGAAATGGCGGAAATGGCTTTGCCGACGGTAATGGTGAGCAAGCCAGACGGACTTATCACCAGAGATACCCCCGATCGTGCTTTGCCAGATAGTCCAACCCTTTCTAATATACATCGTCGTCTTGTTGAAACTGGTTCTGACCGAAAAGGAATATCTGAAGGTAGACCTCTAAGAGTGAGAACACCTGAAATGGAGGAAACAGTGCTGCACGAAGTCGAACAATATCCTGAAACGAGTACGAGGAAGATCGCTAGACACTTAAATATTTGCCATCAAATTGCTTGGAGAATTGGATTTGTTGTTATATCCTTACCATATTTTAAGAGTAGGGGCTTTACTTCCCATTGATTTTCCAAGGCGTGTGATCTTTTGTCAGTGGTATCTTCAAAAAATTACACAAGATGCGCAATTTGAATCAATGATTCTGTTCACCGACGAAGCTATTTTTTCTCGAAATGTCATTCAGAATTTCCACAATAATCATTTGTGGGCAGAAGAAAATCCCTATGCCTTAACCGAAAACCATTTCCAACAGAAATGTTCGGTTCACGTATGGGCAAGAATTATTGGCAACCACTTTATTGGCCCATTCTTTTTGCCGGGACGACTTGACGGACAGACTTAACTCAATTTTCTTGAACAACAGTTGCCTTTGCTGCTTGATGATCTTCCGTTAGTAATAAGAAACAATATGTGGTACAAACTGTTTATCCAAATCATTGGATTGGCCGCGGTGGGCCCCAAGAATGGCCACCAAAGTCTCTAGACCTCAACAGTTTAGATTTCTTTTTGTGGGGCTATCTTAAGACACTAGCGTACACTATAGAGGAATTAAGAGAAAAAATAGTTGCAGCTGATGGTAGAATAAAAGACACTCCAGGGATATTTCAACGGGTGCGCAATTCCATGTGAAGGAGGGCGGAAGCATGGATACTAAGTGCAGGGGGCCATTTTCAACAATTTCATCATTTCGTTGGTTTTAATGATATGCTTATGTTGTCAGTTGTTGTTGTTCATTACCCCTAGTGTGTTTACTTTTTCCAATTAAATGTTTAATAATTTTACAAGTTAGACAATACAACGGTTTTTATTTTTTTACTCAAAAATGGCGCATCGACGAAAAACAATTCAAGAGGCATCATTTGTTCCAAATTGAACGGGAAATTCAAAAATAATTTTTATTTGGCAAAAAACTATTGGCGTACGATTTTTTTTCTGAAATATATATACCCGTACGCATGCCACTATTTAAGCTACATATCAGTGAAATATCTGAAGCGATTCTGAAAATATTAATTATTTTCCATTTTTTTCCTAAAACTACAACACCCCGATTTTTTGTAAGGAAACATTTTTGGACCATAGTTTATATAGCAAACTAACATTAATTTTTCATGTAGATTCACATCCTTGAATATTCGCATATCATTAGACAACAGATAAATTGATAAGAAATATTAAAAATAAATGTTCAGGCGGACATCACATTATATGCAACATGTTCGAATATAGACATTAAGCTTTGTTCTTTTGAAAAACATGTAAGATTAGTTGTTGGAAGGTGTATTTTTTTAAGAAGTTAACTTGTCTTCATATTTGTAGAAAACCTGTGTATTTGTGGTGTGTGTCTGCGCTGTAAAAAAAAATACTATTAACCTGCGCGGCCCAAAAGCCCTTTTGATCTGCCGCTCGCCCTGATTTTTTCTTCTTATCGATTTTGCGTTTCTTGGTCTGACAACGCTGTTTGCATGCGTCATTTGAGATGGCAGTGTACATGGCGTTACGAGACAATATTCAATTTTTCAATTGCTTATTTGCATATTTGATCAGTTGTACAAATAAACATCACTAAAGATCGTCAGTAGAAGAAAAACATAATTTGCCATCAAGCATCAAGTAGTATGAAATTTCTTGACCTCAAGGTAAGCAGAACAATAAAAAAATCAAACGAAGTCAAGCATTAACGTTCAAGTGACTTTATTTTCAAGTCAAGACGTTTATGAAAATATCAAGCTATTTGATTGTTGAATTTCTGCCAATAACCAATGATATTGCACAGAACGGAGGTTCAGTTCTTTTCTCTTTTTCATTGAATAAATTATTTAATTGTAAGATTTAGGTCTCCCTCGAAACTGTTATCCATACTGTATCATCACGTTCGGAAAAACTATTCCGACTGAAGCCATCTGCCTTTCTTTTTTGGATTATTGCTCTGCCCCGTTGAATGCTTGCAGAGGAAAAACGGAGCACTTTATTCCACTTTTGCTCTAGTTTTAATTATTTTATCCTGGATCCAAAAAGGTCAGTCGACCGGGACGCATCGCTAAATCCCGTTAAGTACCTGCTATTTCCGGAAAAGAGTCATACTTTACTTCAATGGACATAGAGAAGGTAGTTTTTGTTAAACTAATGTTAAGGGTCAAAACAGTTCACTCATCGAAAAGTCTTCCACATGAACTGATGCTGTTCAATTCAATTCAATTCAATTCAATTTTATTTAGCGAAAAAGCAGTATTTTTATAATGAAAGACAAACCGAGTGAAAACTATAGTAATCAAAGTTTAAGTTGCTGCTGATTTGTTTTGAAAAAGAGTTTCCAAACGTACACTAAATTGAATAAGAAATTACATTATCCTCATTAATTTTCATGAAATGAGTTCTTGACATGCTAGGGTTAATTATTATTAGCCTTTTTTAAATAGAAAGTAGATTAATTTTTTAATTAATTTAATATCTAATAATTGATAATGTCTTGCCTTGAAACTACATACTGGCGCCAGGTATTCACATCCAGTGTTTTCAAAAAAAGGATGAAACGTAAAAGAGGAATTGAAGAAAAATACTCAGTATTTACTGATAAGGAATATCAAGTACTGCCTTGTCGCACATTTTGTTTGTGAACACTGCCCCTTCCCACTTCAGTTGGCCCCACTAATGAAATCTTAGTTTTTTTCTTATCAAGCACAAATAATAAAAATGTAGCAGGGTGTTATAGATTTAAAATATTAACAATGAATATTTTGATAATATATAGTAGAAAATACCAACTTTATCACTCCCTAATCAAATTTGCAGCATGAAAGTGACACATGTTGCAATTACAGCATATCAACCTATTTTCATTTCAATGCAAAATAAGTCTATAACGCATAGGTGGCTGTGAAAAATAAAAGCCATGACAATCCTTTTTATTAATCACAGCTGTCAGAATACGTTTAAAATAGTTTTGGGTAGTTAAGGTTTTCAAAATGGGTAGAGGAAGGGTTATTAGTGAGAAAATTCGGTTACTGATAATTAAATTTTTTAATTCTGGGAAATCAAACTCAGAAATTGCAACTTTGTTAATATAATTATTTACAATTAATTACTCTGTGTCGTGACGCTGTTGGAAGGACAATTTCGAGGTCCACAACTCATAGAGAGGCCCACAAACTGGGATTTAGCACTTGCAAGGTAAGTTTTCTTATAAAAAAAGTGAAGTAAAAACCCTAAAGTTGCACAACTTGTTTATAGGCCAAAGAAAAGCCACTATTAA